GGGATTTCCACTTTATCGCCCAACACTATTATAGGGAATCCCAAATAATTAGTTAGTAGGTAGGTACATAAAAACATACACATTTTAAATGTGACATTTAAAATTATTTTTCTACACCTAATTATTTAAAAACATGTAATATTTTATTTTTGTTTAGAGCCCTCCGCTGAAAAAAAAACGTAATACACAAAACAAAATCAAATTAGTAACATGATATAAATTTGTATATTATGAATATGAATATTCTATATATTGTCGAAAAACTGTTCGGGTTTGATAATACTTTATACGGGTAAATCATTATATATCTGTTGATGTATATGATATGTATATCAAATATCAATATAGTAATTTATACGTTTGATAACTTACATAGTATATAAAACATGGGTACACTGGTACACATCAATTTATATTATATAATATCTACAGGTTTTCCAGTTATCCATATCTATATAGTCGCCGTCAGATATATTTGCACCACCCATCCCACTTTATGCCTATATTGTACTATTATAGTTTTGAAGAATGACATTTTCAAATGCCTGATATTATTATGTTCTTTCATTATTAATGTGTATACTCTACTGTATAGGTAGTACATATTTGAAAAGAATTTGCAATCGATTAATGGGCACATGTAAATTCCGCCAGTGAAGAAAATGAAGTAACAGTATACAATTAATATAATAGGTATATTATTATAAAAAAAAAAAAAATCATAGTGTTTTTAATAATAATCGTTCTCATTAAACAATAGGTAGGTATGCGAAATATGCAATATTATGTATTTTAAAACTTAAAAATCAAAATAATAATAAAATTGTCGAAAAAATCATACAATTATTGTTATAAATTATAATCATAAAATTTATGTCCCAAACACTAAATTTTATAGGAGAGCAGTTGTAAGATTTTAAATTATTCTACACCAAATAATTTGTGTTGTAGATTTTTGATTTACGTTGTTGCAACTGATTTATTTGTAAAATATTCTGTAAATTACATAAATAATTACTTTTAGGTCTTAAATTTTTTTTTTCAACGTAATTATAATGTTTTTTTAAATTTAAATGGGACTTGTTATGAATGGCAACTATAATATATTTTTACCGTCGACATAATAATTATTATAATTATTATAAGGTTTTGATGGACATATTAAAAGTTGTTAATTTAATATATACTATAATTAATTTATTATATAAATAGTTAAAATATACGTAAGACTAATTTTAATTTTATTGATATAAAAAAATAATTTGTATATATAATTGCATTAAAAAAGTAAAAAATATAAAAAATATTGGAATTTTTCATTGAATGTGAAAAATAATAAAGCAGCATTTTCATCAAATTTTTAGTCAAATAAAACCCGTGTTTAATGATATTTTATGCCAATTGAAGATATCATGTTATTTAGTGTAATTTAAAAATAAAAATGTTTATTATTTAAAATAATACGTCCGGACATATTCGTTTTTTATAAATAGATAAACTAATTTCATATTATCTAAAACATTACACGTCCAAAATTGAATGAATTGTTTTTGACAAAAGTTACTTGTGACTTGTTATATTTGTCCGCTTAATATTTAGATCATGTTAAAATATTTATTGTATGTCTCATTAAGTTAGGACTTGTTACATGTGTGCACTAAAAAAACCTATCTTGCATTAAAAACACAAAAATTAAAGTATAAATACAACATGGTTTTCAATTATTTCACTCTAAAGTTAAGAGAAACCAGAATGATGGTATCATTATATTTATTAAGGATAATTTCTCTGTTGATTTTAAAGAATACGGCTGTAATGAATGTAATATTGTTAACTTAACGTTATCTGATATGTCATGCAACGAGCGATTCAATATTTTATGTATATATAGATCCCCGTCCTCGAATAGCGATGAATTTCTGACCTGTCTATCTAACATCATAAAAACTGATAAATCTTTGATTGACCGTACACTTATTATCGGAGATACGAACACTAATATAATTGGCACCGACAATATAGATAATGAATATCTAGACTTGCTTTCGTCATATGGGTTTCGCTCTTTTGTAAACATTTATACGAGACTCCCTACTACCCATACTCACTCATGTATTGATCACGTATTTGTTAAATCTAATGACAATAATATACTAAACAATATTCAAGCAGGTGTACTACAAATGTATATCACAGATCACTGCCCAGTTATAACTTCGATCCCTCTACTGAAATATAAAAGTCATAATGACAATAATTATAAAAATATTGTAGATTATAAGTTAGTGAAGAGTAAATTAAAAAATGAAACATGGACCTCAGTTAATGATCACGATATCAATAAATCGGTAAAAAAATTTTATGACATAATCTTAAATACTATAAGCTCCTGTACAAATAAAAAATTTTTTCACTCTAAAAACAAAAGAATCAAAGAATGGATGACAGCAGGTCTGCTTCGCTCCACTCGTAGAAAAAACGAACTCTCTATCAAAGTTAAAAAACATCCACTAAATCAATCCCTAGTAACTTATTATAAATCCTATAGAAACAAACTCAACTCTTTAATTAAAATAGCAAAAATAAATTTTTATAAAAATAAATTCATTTCAGTTTCAAAAAATCCAAAAGCTACTTGGAAATTAATTAATGAAATAACCGGTAAAAAGTTGACGAACAATGATAATATTAAATTAATAAGAGTAAATGAAGAACAAATAAACTGTAGATCTGAGCCAATCAAAGCATGTAATGCTTTTAATAAGTTTTTCTCTGAGGTAGGTCTCAATTTGAGTAAAACATTTAATACAGTAAATATGGAAGTACCAGTACCTCTTGATAAGCACTTTGATAATATTTTTACCAAAGATGTGGATAAAAAAGAGGTCCTTCATTTGTTTAATTCTCAAAAAGAGGACACCGCTGCAGGATTTGATAAAATATCAGTAAAGCTTATTAAAATAATTTTACCTCTTATAATTGACCCATTAATTACTATTTATAATAAAAGTCTAAAAGAAGGTATTTTTCCCACTCAGTTTAAAGTAGCAATCGTTAAACCAATTTTTAAAAAAGGTGATAGACAATCTCTGGGAAATTATAGACCCATTTCAATAATCAGTATTTTTGCTAAAGTGTTGGAAAAAATAGTAAAAAATAGACTTATTACATTTCTAGAAGAAAATAACCTGTTATCTAAAAATCAATTTGGCTTTAGAAAAGGTCTAGGAACTATTGATGCACTTTATAATGTATCAAAAAATATCTATAATGCACTTGACAACAGTCAAAAAGCTATAGCTGTTTTTTTGGATTTTGCTAAAGCCTTCGATACTGTCGACCATAGACAACTATTAATTGCTTTGCCAAGTTTTGGTATTGTCAATGAAAGTCTAAAATGGTTTACAAGCTATCTAAAAAGTAGAGTTCAATATGTTTCACTAAATGGCTATATGAGTGATGAATCTTATATAAACTGTGGTGTACCACAAGGCAGCGTGCTTGGTCCAGTATTGTTTATAATGTATATTAACAGTTTATGTAACATGAAAATTAATGGATCTATTGTTACCTATGCCGACGATACCTGCTTACTTTTTACTGATGCTACATGGGATCTGGTGTACAATAAAGCAGAAACAGAATTAAATAAATTCATTCAGTACCTAAATTTAAAAAAGATTTCTGTCAATTATGATAAAACTGTTTTTGTTGCATTTTCTATTTATAATTGTACTCAATTTTCAAATCAGGAACTAATAATTTATAATGATAGTCATAAAACTCGCGGTTCAAATGATTTTAAAATTAAGAGGGTAACAAAGGTCAGATACTTAGGACTAATGCTAGACTGCAATTTTAGATGGAATATCCATGTACAAAATATTAATATGCGCTTACGAACTGTTATATATAAGTTAAATTGTTTGAATAAAACTCTCTCCTCAGATACCATGAAAATTGTTTACTTGTCACTCTATCAATCTATCTTACAATATGGTATAACTATATGGGGTGGTGCCTCTGAAAAAACACTAAAACCAATAATATCTTTACAGAATAGAGCTGTTCGTATCTCTCTAAATAAAACAGATCGAGTTGGTTCTTCTAATGAAAATTACAAAGAACTGGGTGTACTTCCTCTAAATCTGTTATATAAAAAATACTCTATATCTTTTACTTTAAAAAATCATTCTAAATTCGATCCGTATATAAATAAACGTGAAACTTTAAAATACAATCTAAATGTCAATTATTCTAATAAATGTATTGGTCAGAAATTTGTAGACTATTTAGGGCCAACTTATTTCAATTACCTAGAAATTAATGTCAAAAGGTATCTTAGATTAAGTAATAATATTAATATAAATAAATATTTAACTAATGTTTTTATAAACAATTTGTAAATTCAAGTATCTTGTTAGTTGTTTATAACTTCTTCTTTATTGTTTTTTATTGTTTTTTATTGTTTATTTTTGTCATATTTGTAAATACTATATTGTTTATGCCATATTTTAATCTCTAAGGAAATAACTCTGTAATAACTCGCTACCTTCAACTCAAGCTACGCTTAAAGAAGGTAGCTAAACCAAAATGTTTTTTAAAATGTTTATTTAGTATACTAATTGTACTAGTATTTTTAATTTATTTAATAAATGGTTTATCAAATCAAAAAAAAAAAAAAAAAACATGATTTAATTATGATATTGACTTATGATGTTTTACCGAATCAAAAAGACGACCCAGATAAACCATAGGACTGATAAAATGATTTTGAGAAAAATTGGACATACAACTCTTGGCCTCTTAGCCATCGTAATATGTTCCAAAACGAAGTGTACCACCTATGTGATCAGGCGCGGATCCAGGAATATTTTTTTAGGCGGGCCCGTAAATTTAACCACATAAAATAATGCAGTAAAATTAAGATTTAATAAAGAATAATTTTCATTTAGTTATAAATATAATAATAGTTAAAAAAAAAATATATTGAAATACAGTTACATGGAAAAATTTAACCTTCTTAACTTATTACTAGCAAATTCATTTAAAATTTCGTCTGGATTTTGTATTAACTCTTCACTTTTTTCTCGTTCAATCGATAGCAGAGCTAGGTTGTGTAAACGTTTTCCGGTCATGGTCGATCTATTATACGTTTTTATTCTCCTCATTGTAGAAAAACTCTTTTCAGCTGTAGCACTTGAAATTGGAATAAATAAAATTCGTCTGTACATTTCTTCTAGCTGTAAGAATGATGCTCCCATGCTTTTAATTGATAAATAGGCTTCTATAGAATTTGAATCTGCAGCAAACATTTTTTTTCCTAAATCACATTGTGCTCTCAACTTTTCAATAAATTGATTATCTGTAGAAATTCCTGGCAATTTTATAAGTGTGTCAATGTCTAAAAACATTTTGGAGCTTGGATTACAGGTTTCCACTGCTTCAATTAGTTCTGTTTGCTTAAATCTTCGGTTCATTTCTATGACGATATTGTCAATTATTTCAAAGTATTGACTTCTCATTTTTATTTCGTGTTCAGAAATGTTGTCCATTTGATTTTGTCCTATAGAACTGTCACAAAATAATCTGTAAGTTTTGATGAAACATTCTTTTTTCTCTTTTCCGTAACTGGGATGCTCATTTTACCACTGATTTCTTCTACAGATTTAATTACTTTTTCATATAAATCATGAAATTTGTTTTCGGTTCTCATACTTTTTATTTGATCTTTCGTACATTCAATAAGTGTTATGCACTTACTTAAATCTGTAGATTTTGTTTGTAAATAAACTGACAACGAGTTTATGCACAATAGAAGTTCATTTAAACAAAAAATTGTCAATAAATTATCAAAAGTTGCAAATTGGTTTAATAAACCTCTAGCTTCTGCAGCTTCTTTTGATTTTTTACTCAAAGTACACTCTTTTAAAGCTTTAATAACACTTTTGAAACGTATTTTAAAGAAATGTATCCCTTTGTACTTTGAAACCCATCTTGTTTCGCAGTGCTGTGGTATTTTTAATTTTTTATCACTGTCTTCTTGTGATTCCAAAAATAAACTGTTCCTTAGTGAAGAACACGACTGAAATGAATAAATTGCTTCTAATATACCAATTGTATTATGAATAGCTATCAAACTATCTAACTATCGGCAAGTGCTTTTGCATGCAATTCTTTAAGTTCAAGAAATCCAAGAAATCTTTCGTTAATACGATTGTCACTTATGTAGCGTACACAAATACTCATTTCTTCTATATTTGATTCGTCTTTAGCTTCATCGACAATAATACTGTAAAAATTACTTCCATTTTGAATTTCTTTCACAATACTTTTTAAAATCATTTTACATGACACATTAAGAATTTCATTTTGAATTGTTTTTGAAGTGTATTTAGCATTTTTTGGTAATGTATTTAATTTTGTTTTAAAATCGTCATTTTCAAGTCCAAGCAATTTTACCAACACGATAAAATTACCGTTATTTTGAAAGGGGTCAATATGAGTTTTTAAATTATCATCGTCGTTATCATCAATATAATTATTAGTTTCTCTGTAACCACGTAAACCAATATCTTGTCTCCCACAATATAACACGCATCTGATCAACGATCTCATAATTTCCCGATTTTTTAAAATGTCTTCTTTTAGTTGTGTATTTAATTTTGTTGCTACAGAACCAGTTTTTTTAGCGGATATCCACGATTTATATTTTTCAAGAGACAGTTTATAAATATTTGAAGAATTGTGTTTTTCTAACATGTTTCCAATATGCTTCCAATCAGAATAACCATTAACAATTAAAACTTCATCTCTGTAGCCGGAATTATCACTAGTGAAATGGCGACAGTAAAAACAAAATATCGAATCTCTCATTTTCGAGTATTCTAACCATTCGTATTTTGAATACCACAATACATTAAATGCTCTCTGTTTTCCACCGATGTTTCGTCTCGGGAACGTAATGTTGGGTTGATTTGGCCCGTTTTCAACGTTTTGACTAATATCAAAAATATTGTTTTGAATATCGCGATCATTGACACTTATTGTAGTAGAAGATTTACAGATTTACTATTATTCGAACGACGACGATCGATATTTAGATAAAATCAGGTTAATCACTGGGCAATTACATGTTATTAATAATAACTTATTATAAATGGTACCTAGATATAATGTTGTTTTGTTATACTCCCCATGCACGATTAATACATATATAATATATTTGATAAAATTAATTTTAAAACTTATAGTCAAAATTCTAAAATAATAACTTGAATGCCAATATTGAAAATTCAAATTATTGTTCTTGAAAATTTTGGGTGGGCCCGGGCCCACCCGGCCCACCCTCTGGATCCGCGCCTGTATGTGATGATAACATTATAATTTGACCTGTATTTTAATTGATTGAAAATGTGATAGGTATATAATACATAAATAAATATTATTATATCGATACCATAATACTGTTTTGGTACGAAATTCGCCGTGCATGCAAAAACAATATATTAATATCATCGTGTCAATATACGGTCGCTTTAAAAACTAATGCGTTTCGTTAATGTAGAAATTATAATAATTTTCACATTCACGATGTACACGTACGTGAAACGGTATTACACACACATATATACATTATATATAGTTACGTTACGGACGATGGTGACACGGTGGACATTTAAATATTTGGTTTACAAGTCTCAAATGTGACACAAGTATAATACAATACAGCAAACTATAAACCGATACTTATCGGAACAAGTTCCAGTCAACTGTTTGTATTATATTGGTATTCTGTAGGCCATCGCAAACGGTATTATATATATTATTATGACTTAAATCGAGTTTGTAAACTTTAAAACCTAACTTTGATGCGGATAAAACAATATCTAAGTGAAATCTTCAAAAGTCAGGAATTGAACATTTTTTTTTTTTTTAATGCATTACTTATGTAAATTTGAATTTTTTTTTTTTTATAGAAATAATATAGTTTTATGTGAAATTTACATAATTATTATAATGCATTATGCAGTGTAGTACAGTTTGTGATTAAAATGCTAATAACAAAAGGAACATCTATTTGAATTTTTGTATAGAAAACTACATTCACCCAATTAAGTTTATTTATTTATTTTTACCAAAAAACATTAGGTATAATTATTTAAAACAATTTTCAAGATATAATATTGTTCGAAAAATGATAACTTTTATGATATTTGACGTGTTTTACCTATAAATTCGTTTATATAATATTGTTTACCCTAATACGCTTAATAAACACAGAATGTCATGTAGATAATAATATCATAGATATTATACTATCTAAGTGCACGACAATACACCATCAAAATGTATCATTTTAGGCTTTAAGGGAAGAAATTATTTGGAATAATATGTTTTGACATGACGTCGAAATTTCGATCCGGCGCGAGCATTGTACCTACGCAACTCGCAGACATTTGAGTTTATACACTTATTCGCGAATATTGCTCGGAGCAATGAAATGTCATCCGATAGTATTGTCGGAGAACCAAACACACAATATGATTACATATTATTTTTGCGTTGTGTGTAATTCGATGCGAACACCATTGAAATACAATTCCGATTTTATAAAATATTCCACGTTGATCGGTATATGTACAGAAAATAGTTTGAAACAAGAAATAATTGTATATTATATAGGTATTAATATGATTACGAACGTCATCGCTAAACGTATATACAGCTAAAACATATGTCGTACGGTTCTGTTTCGATCGATTGTCATTAAGTGTGAAAATAGCAGTATAGGTACATTCAGCAGTTCAGTTTTGTCTTGATGCAAACCGATTTTAAATTGTGCGTGACATACCTATTTTGGTAACAATGCAAATTAAGTACTTGTTGTGTATTTCAGATTATGCGTTTTACTCCATTACCTCCATCAGTATTTGGAGTAATCGTCGATCGTGTATAAATGTATAATGCCATAAAACATATACCTAAGAGTGATTATATTTTATGAAAGCATACACACATTTTGTTTTCAATCATACAAAACAACATACGAATTTAAAGTGTATCGTCACAGAAATGTTTAAATTTAGTACAAATTGTAATATATTTTAGTATTTTACGATACGTGACAAAATGTTAAGAGGATGCTACCCATGCATTTGTTGTCTCCATCTTACACACTTACGACATAGCAAATTTTCGTTCACTAGTTTCAATATAGTGTGCTGTTATAGTCTTGATATTAGAGTGATTTGACCTATTATAGATTTTTTAGATAATGACATTATCTGTGCTTAAGCTTTGGCTTTTATTCGATATTTTAATTTTATAGCGAGATATTAGCATTTTTAATTTTTGATATTTCACATACCCATATCTTGCTTGAAAATGAAAACTTCGAAAAATCGGCAAAGTTTAAGCACAGTTAATGTTCTTACCTAAAAGTCTTATAATAGGTCAATTCACTCTATTATCAAAACTAACAGCACACAATTGAAACTAGTGAACGACAATTTGCTATGTCGTGCGTGTGTAAGACGGAGACAACAAATAGCGTCCTATTAAGACGGGTGAATAAAAAAAAAATTGCATCACTTAAATAATTTATGATTAAAATCGTCTTGACATTATTGTTATTAGCGATTTGTTTAATTGAAATAGTTATATTTCCTCAGAAAATTAAATAAGTAAATAAGAAAAATAAGAGTAGGTAATAGTGAGAGGTATGTAAATGAAAAGTGATGCTTTTCCAGTATCCACAATATATTATTACCTATGATATTTTTATTAATACATTTTAATAGTGCATGTGAAAAATAATTCTTAATGGTTTGAACGAAAATATAACGTCAATATTTTAGTTTTTTTTTGTTCGTCTGGATCATAATTTTATTATTATAAACGGCGTTCAATTAAAACTAAATGTGACGCTATAATAGAAATAAATTGTTTAGTGAGTGAATTGACTGCGTTTTGAAAACAATTTCAATGTGTTTGACCAATTATTACTGTGTACATTGAAAGAGAATGTATAATTTATAGTGTTTTTATTTATGGATATTACAATTTTATTTATCGTTACTGCCAATAACAAACTTAGGTAATCATTTCGAGTTGTATAACTCCGCAACTAAGAAATGGTCTGAATGCGTATAGGGTCAGAAGTTATAATATACGTATAATAATAATCAATTTGTAAGAAGTAATTTGAAAGAAAAATTATATTCAATTTGTTATTATGAAAAATAATATGTTCGAACGTATTAAAATTATAATGATAAAAAGGCGGGACACAGAAATAGTTTAGTTTATAATAGAGTTTTCAAAGTATATAAGCATAGCTATATAAAAAAAAGATTTTTTATATATTATACAATTATATTAATTCTTATAATCAAATTTGAGTTTTAAAAGTAATACTAATGCATAATGTATATAGTATAACATAAATAAAATTATTTATTATAATATTATTGTGGTAAACATTTAAATGCAATTATAACAATTTAGTTTTAATTGTAAATTGTAGGCAGGTAATCATATAAATAAAATAACT